CCCTGTGGCTCCTGCCCTGTGGCTCCTGCCCTGTGGCTCCTGCCCTGTGGCTCCTGCCCTGTGGCACCTGCCGGTGGCTCCTGCCGCTGGCAGAGCAGGCGCTGCTCGCCCTCGGAGCTGTGTCTGCCGTGCCTGGGGACGGGGACCCGCTGGCCGAGGATGTGACACACATGTGACACATGGCCCAGCTGCTGCGGGGGCTGTGTCCCCAGCCAGGACCCCGAGCAGCTGCCTCGTCCAGCCCTGGAGCCCTTTCCAGCCCCGCTCCCAGGGGCAGGATTCCCTCCCTGGGGAGCACCTCGGAGGTCGGAGGGGATTTTTGGGATCGCAGCCCTGTCGTGGCGTGTGTTTGGAGGCTGAAGTTGTGTGTCAGGTGGCTCAGCATTGCCATGACGACGAGCATCCTTTGGTGAACAGGGGGAGTAAAGGAGGCAGAAGAAATGTCAGGGTGTGAATGGAAGCGGTGGAGCCGGGGCTCCCCCGGCTCAGCCCGGGGCTCCACGGGTGCAGCCCCGCTCCGGCAGTGCCGGCTGCCTGCCGAGCTCCTGGGGGCAGCTCTGGGGGGCGTGGGGCAGAGTCTGCCGGCTCTGGGCACTGAGAGAGGTGGGTGGAAGCCCAGAGCTGGGAGGAGGAGGAGGCTGGGGGCTGTGCTGTGGAGCCGGTGTCCCCGCCGCGCCCAGTGCATCCCCTTCTCCCACAGTTCCCAAAGCAACGCGAGCAGGCGATTCTCCCTCGGATGCTGTGTCTCCCTCTGGGTGACAGCTTGCCTCCTCCAGAGCTTCATCTTCAGGCTCTAATTGATGCCTGTGGTGCCGCTCAGCTCCCCGAGCGCAGCCTGGGGCAGGACACCCTGTGGCTGCCTCGTCCTGTCCGGACCCTGGTCCTTGGTGACTTGTCCCTCCTGAGGACAGGGGGGATGGAGCCAGCATGACCGGAGCACGTGCTCTAGAGCCAGGATGCCGAGGGGGCTGCTCTTCTGGGGAGAGTCTGCAGCTCCTGCCCCCTGTCCCTGTCCCTTCTGCTCCAGAGCAGTCCCACGCTGTGCCTCAGTGTCCCCACTCAGAACGTGAAGGCCCCTGGGCTGCTGCACATCCTGCACAGAGCAGGGTCCTGAGCATTTCCTGGCTTCTGTCTCCCCAGGAACCTTCCGAGGAGTGTGCAAGAAAATCGACCACTTCCCTGAGGATGCAGACTACGAGCAAGACACGGCCGAGTATCTCCTCCGTGAGTCTGCTCGCCTGTGGCACGCGTGCCCTGGGCCCCCTCACCCTGCAGGGCACCCCCTCCCCGTCAGCAGCAGGAGGGGAGGGGTCACGGCCCCCCGGGCTCTCCTGCAGCACCAGGACCCTCTGGTTTACCCGTGCCACACGCAGACCCCGCGTTAATGGCACTCCAGCCCTCGCTGAGCCCACCGCTGCTCCCAGCAGCTGCTGCACGGCCTGGGTCTCTTGGTGTCCCCCTGGGGACAGGGACCCCGCAGGTCAGAGCTGTGGCAGCACAGGGACACGTCTCGTGCTGGTGTCCCTGTCCCCAGAGCCTCCAGCCAGGCTGGATTTGCTGGGGAGCACAGGGAGCGCTGCCAGGTGCTCTGCAGGTGGAGACAGAGGGAAACGGAGCTGGCAGGTTCCTGGGAAGAGTGGGTCCTCCTGTCTCAGGGGCCAGCAGAGCTTCAGGGCAGGACCTCAGGCTTTCACACAGAATCCCAGAATGGCCCAGGCTGGAAGGGACCTTAAATCCCAGCCTGGTCCACTTCCCTACATGGATCAGCTTCCAAAATGACAGTAGAGAGTAATGAATGCAGCAGAGCACTACCTGCTGCACCAAAAATACACTGTGCCTTGGCTTGGGCTCTCATCCCTCCATTAGGGCCGTTATTAAAGCAGAGAAATACAGAGAAGCTCCATTAAAATTCCACTCCTGGGGGCTTTAAAATAGACTTTTTACTTTAAATGTGAGAGGGGGTGGGAGAACTTCAGCGCTAATCTAGTAAAACTGCAAAGCCGTTTCATTAAAGTCGCTCTCCTCTCTGCTGGGTGAGCAGAGGTGTGGAAATTTGGGAGTTCAGAGCAACAGCTGGATGAGCAGCAGCTGGCTCAGTCAGGGGGTTGGGGCTGAGCACCAGGCCATGGGCACGGGGCCCTTCTCCCGGGATTCCTTCCAGCCCCAGCAGCTCAGGGAGAGCCCAGGGCTGCCATGTGCCCCCCTGGTGCTGCAGTTTGGAGGTGCAGAGGTTGGGGTGAGCCCTCAGCAGTCTGGCACACACAAGTGGCTCTGCATGTCAGGGGTGTCATTTGTGCCCAGCCTCTGTCACGGTGCCTGGCACACGCTGACACTGAGGGGACAGTGCCCCTCGTCCCCAGGGGCACCCTCAGCCTGCCTTGGCACTGCTCTGCTTCCCCCTGACAGAGGGGAAATTTAGGTGATTTATTCAGAGGAAATCCTTCCCTGGCAGGGTGGGCAGGCCCTGGCACAGGTGCCCAGAGCAGCTGTGGCTGACCCTGGATCCCTGGCAGTGCCCAAGGCCAGGGTGGAAAGGGTTGGGATCAAGCTGGGATATGGAAGGTGGAAGATGTCCCTGCCCATGGCAGGAGGTGGCACTGGGTGGTTTGAAGGTCCTTTCCAACACAAACCATTCCAGGACTCCGTGACAAGCAGGGGACTCATGGTGGGGACCGGTGCTAGGTCTCCCCATCCATCCTGGCAGCACAAGGGGTGCCCTGGCATGATCCCCAGGTGCTGGTGCTGGTGCAGGGGGTGCTGGGGGCTGATCCTGCCCCTTTCCCTGTCCCACAGGCGCAGTGAGAGCATCCAGCATCTTCCCCATCCTCAGCGTGGGGCTGCTGTTCTTCGGGGGTCTGTGTGTGGCCGCCAGCGAGTTCTACAAGAGCAAACACAACGTCATCCTCAGCGCCGGCATCTTCTTCGTCTCTGCAGGTAGGAGCTGCCCAGGGGCTCCTCCAGCCTGGGGGGGCACGGGGGAGCAGGAGGCGGGCTGTGGGTCCTCCCAGGCTGTCAGCACAGAGACATCTGAGGTCTGAGAGATGTTCCAGCCCTGTGGGAAAATCACCACAGCAGGGAAAATCCATCAGGGGTCCCTGGCCGTGGTCACTGTGCCAGACAGGGCTCCAGGGTGCAGCCCTTCCCCTGGGACAGACAGCGGGCACTGTGCCAGGACCAGGCACAGGGGCTGCCACAGCTCCACATGGAAACCACTCTTTGGAGAGGCTGTTCCTGCTGGATTACTCATTTCTCTGTGTCGTTCACCAACGCTTCCCCTGATTATTGCGTGACAATGGCTTTGTCTCAAGGAACCGCTCTATTTTGTGTTTTTCTTCTCCCCACAAAAAGACAAATGACTCTCCCTCCTTGGCTGGCAGGAGCTGCTGATGCAGATGAGAAAACAGCGGAGAGAACATAATGGATTCATTAAGTAAATCTGGGAATGCACCAGCCTCTCCCCAGCCTGCAGCACGGCCCCGCTGGCTGCCGGTGGGGCACAGGCTGCCCCTGTCCCAAACAACGCCTCAGGACTCCAGCAGAAATGGAAAGAGACAGAGCCATTCCAGCTTCCCCGTGCTCCCAGGGCCGTGCTGAGCTGGGGTTCATGCTGGGGGGATCCCCCTGCGCCCCTCGGGTTGGCTCTGCTGCTGCTGCACTCACTGCTCGGCACAGCACAGCACAGCCAGCTCCTGAAATGTCCCTTTTCTAGACAGAACAGAGGTTATTCCTCCTTCCCTTCTGGTTCCCAGGAACACACAGGAATAAGGGCACGTGTAAGGGAATGTGAAGGTATCCTGGCAGGTCGGCAGAGGTCTGCGAGGGGATTTGGGCCGAGTGTGCTGGCACAGGGGGTGATGCCCCGTGGGGACACTCCCTCCCACCCACTGCTGCCACCCGGCTCAGCGCCTGTCCCGCTTGTCCCCGCCGCAGGTCTCAGCAACATCATCGGGATCATCGTCTACATCTCGGCCAACGCGGGCGACCCGGGCCAGAGCGACTCCAAGAAGAGCTACTCCTACGGCTGGTCCTTCTACTTCGGAGCGCTGTCCTTCATCATCGCCGAGATGGTGGGGGTGATCGCCGTGCACATGTACATCGAGAAGCACCGCCAGATCCGCGCCCGCTCCCACTCGGAGCTGCTGAAGAAGTCGGCCTTCACCCGCCTCCCGCCCTACCGGTACCGCTTCCGCCGGCGGTCCAGCTCCCGCTCCACCGAGCCCCGCTCCCGGGACATGTCACCCATCAGCAAAGGGTTCAGCACCATCCCCTCCACCGACATCTCCATGTTCACCCTCTCCAGGGATCCCTCCAAGGTTACCATGGGGACGCTGCTCAACTCGGAGCGGGACCACGGTTTTTTACAGGTCCATAACTCCATCCCCAAAGAGTTCAAGGAGTCTTTGCACAACAACCCGGCCAACAGACGAACCACGCCGGTCTGAGGCGGGCTGGGCCGTGGGCAGGCTGCATGGCATCACCCTCGTCACGGTGTAACCTGTGAAACCCCGTTTTTAAGGACAAACCCAGAGGCTCCCCGTGGCCCTGCTGGTTTTTCGCTCCTGAAATGCCACCGGCCGGGCCCGGCTGCCGCGCCCGCGGT